GCTGCTTCCGAAGCAGAAAGTTTAAAGGAGGATGAAAAAGTGAGCGACCTAACTCGACCAGAATCGACAATATCTACAGTCGAAAGCAAGGGGTCTGAGAAATCCCCAGTGGATTCTACAAAATCCTCACGCGCTGGTTCTGTAACAGAGAGTATTAAAGAAGATGACAAAATTAGTGATCAAACCAGACCAGCATCGGTAACATCAACGGTGGGAAGCAAGGAGCCTGAGAAATCACCTTCAGAGTCCAAAGAATTATTACCTGCTGCTTCTGGAGCAGAAGGCATTAAAGAAGACGACGAAATAAGCGATCTAACTCGACCACAATCAGCAACATCTATTGCAGAGAGCAAAGAATCACAGAAGTCACCTACAGACACTAAGCAACCATCACCTGCTGCATCGTTAGCGGAAAGTATTAAAGAGGATAAAAAAATAAGTGAACAACTTATAGCAGAATCAGTAATGCCCATTGGTAAAAGCATAGCATCCCAAAAATCGCCTGCAGACTCCAAACAGATATCACCTACTGCTTCCGTAGCAGAAAGTATTATAGATGATAAAATAAGCGATCAAACTAGACCAGAATCAGTAACTTCTACGGCAGAAAGCAAGGAGTCTGAGAAATCGCCGGTTGATTCCAAAAAACCGTCACGGTCTGCTTCTGTATCAGAGGGTGATAAAGGAGATGATAAAGTAACTGAGAAAGCTCGACCAGAATCAGTAATTTCCACCGTAGAAAGCAGAGATCTTGAGAAATCACCTGTTGCTTCTAAAACATCATCACGCGCTGCTTCTATTGCAGAGAGCATTAAAGAAGACGACGAAATTATTGATCAAAGCCGACCAGAATCGGTAACATCAACGGTGGAAAGCAAAGGACCTGAGAAGCCACCTGCCGACTCCAAACAACTATCACCTACTACTTCTGAAGCGGAGAGTATTACAGAAGATGAAAAAGTGAGCGATCTGACTCGAGCTGAGTCGGTAATATCTGCCCCAGAAAGCAAGGAATCTGAAAAATTATCTATTGATTCTAAAAAGTCGTCCCGTGCCCCTTCTCTAACAGAAGGTGCTAAAGAAGATGAAAAAATAAGCGATAAACCTGTATCAAAATCAGTAATTCCAAGTGCTGAACCCAAAGAATCACAAAAATCACCTGTCGAATCTAAAAAATTATCACCTGCTGCTTCCGAAGCAGAAAGTTTAAAGGAGGATGAAAATGTGAGCGATCTCACTCGGCCAGAATCGGTAATATCTACTGTAGAAAGCAAGGAATCTGAAAAATCACCTATTGATTCTAAAAAATCATCACGCGCGCCTTCCGTAGCAGAGAGTACTAAGGAAGATGACAAAGTAACTGATAAAACTAGACCAGAATCAGTAAAATCTACCGCAGACAGCAAGGAATCTGAAAAATCACCTGTTGATTCTAAAAAGTCGTCACGTGCCCCTTCTCTAGCAGAGAGTATTAAAGAAGATGAAAAAATAAGTGATAAAGCTGCATCAGAATCAGTAATTCCCAGTGTTGAAAGCAGAGAATCACAGAAATCACCTGGCGAAACTAAACAACTATCACCTGCTGCTTCCGTAGAAGAAGATTTAAAAGAGGATGGAAAAGAGGGCGACCCGACTCAACCAGAATCAATAATATCTACTGCAGAAAGCCATGAGTCTGAGAAATCACCAGTTGATTCTAAAAAATCATCACGCGCTGCTTCCTTAGCAGAGAGTACTAAAGAAGATGACAAAGCAACTGAGGCAACTCAACCAGAATCAGTAATATCTACCACAGAAAGCAAGGAATCTGAAAAATCACCTGTTGATTCTAAAAAGCCGTCACGTGCCCCTTCTCTAGCAGAGAGTGTTAAAGAAGATGAAAAAATAAGTGATAAAGCTGTATCCGAATCAGTAATTGCAAGTGCTGAAAGCAAAGA